TGAACACAAATTGCAAGGGAAAGAATATGGACTCTCACTTTCCTTGGCTTGTTGGATCAGTCTGGGCAGCAGTTTGTACTAATCAAGTTGGAGTTGCTTAAAATCCAGTGCAAGCTCTAGTTGTACATTTCAATGTATTCATTTCGTATTATAAACCTTTGTGTATTTTGATAACAGGAAAACTAGCATCAGGTAAGAATATTTAGGATTTTATTCATGTGCATTTTTACAATTTCCATAAATTAACGTACACAAATTGTAAGTAATGGTAAAATGATATAATATTTCTGTGATTAATAGTTTTGTGATCAAAGTTTAAGATGTATAGGAAAAGCTAGATAGAAGAGGGGGATCTCTGAAAAAATGTAACTTCTATTTCTTAAACAGGAGTATCTGTAACAATATTCTAATCTCTTCTGCAAGGAGATGGGCCTGCAGAAATTATGATATTAGTGCTGAAGGTCAGAGTTTGGAACCAAATGTCATCAGGATGGCATATTCTTATGGGAACTGATAACAGATTCCTAAACATTTCAGAGAGAAGCCCCAGTGGGGCACTTGGAGAAAGGATAGATGAGGGCTTTGAGAAGTGCTAAAGAATTTCAGCTGCTGTGGTCTCTCTCTGCCCAGCTTGCCTGTCCAGTCACTCCCACCCCTCGAGTGGCCTCTCTCCAGCCAGTCGGGCTCCTACGAGCTGCGGATCGAGGTCCAGCCCAAGCCCCACCACCGGGCACACTACGAGACCGAGGGCAGCCGAGGGGCCGTCAAGGCACCGACTGGAGGCCACCCTGTCGTGCAGGTAAGGGACTGGAGAGCAACTCCATAGAGGAAAAGTGGGGGATGACTGGGGGGTGAAAGTCTTGCTGGGGTCTGGCCCTGAAAGGGGAGAGGGAGCATGTGAACGTGGGTGTGCTTGTAGATGTGCATAAAGTGTCTGAAGTTTAACTGTGATGAAGTCCTGGATGCTTGGAAAGTTGGTTTGGATTAGCTTGTGAAAGCTCAGAAACTTGGGTCTCCCTCACTGGAGACATTCAAAACCCACCTGGATGAGTTCCTGTGTGATGTACTCTAGGTGACCCTGCTCTGGCAGGGGGGTTGGACTAGATGATCTCTCGAGGTCCCTTCCAGCCCCTAAGATTCTATGATTCTATGATTCTATGATATTTGCCACCTTTTCTGTGCTACGTGTCACACCTCCCGTGACCCAACTCTGTCAGAACATGTGCAGCTGCCCTGAATTCCAGCTGAGCCAGTTTTATATTGAGAACAGACTCTTCTGTGTGAAACGGGGCTTTTTGTGAGGTTCGAAATGTACCAACATCAAGCCTGGCTTTCAAATTCAGAATAGCACAGTGACCTACCAAATAGATTTAAAATAACTAGCAGATCATGTTAGAACTGCAATCCCAGGTCCTCCTGCCAGCAGTGAGGGAGGATTTTGGAGCTGAGCTCCCCAGGTTCCTGCAGAACAATTCCATGCAGCAGAGAGGTGCTGCCCGTGTTTCTGACTGTGTGTAACCTCAGCCCCTCTCCAGTCCATACAGCTGGACTATGAGACTCACATACATTCTCTTAAGACTTTATAAAAAGCAAAGCAGCCTTCTTTAACCTCGGTGGGGGGTGGATTAGGAAGGTATGGATGTTACACTGGGGTTTTTCCAGAGTTAACAGCTGCCTTTTGCTAGAAATGTCTTTCATGCATTTGTTCTTCCTTAGCAATTTTACACTTCCACCCCCTGCCCCTCCCCTCTGGTCACTTGGTATAGCTGCTAATTTTAAGCTCATTTAAATTTAGGTCAGAGAATTTCACCTGTGTGTAATTCAAGCACTCAGTACATACATTTCAATCTAGTGCCTGGTTGATATGTAACTTGCTGATGCCATGTCCCACCTTGCATGCAGTCTTGCTTGCCGTCTGTGGCAACACTGCCTTCTTAATGTCCTGGATGTGCACCACTGTCTTAACTGTATTAGCCATGTGGTGAAGAGACAACAGAGCAAGATAATTACATAGTAGTGGGGATGATTTAAAGAAAAACTTGGCCTTTATATAGCTGTAAATATAGAGAGGACTTCTTTATCAGCTTTACAGTTTTACAGAGAAAGGGTGAATGAGTTTAGGCAGGAGCTCCCTCGTGATTTGAGCTGATATCACTACAGAAACAGAGTTTTATCTCTCTTTTGAGGTATAATTTATATTGCCATAAAGAGTGAAGTTCTAGTCCTAGCTATGCTTGTGAGAACGGAAGTCACTCTGCTGAAACCAGTGAACAAAGTCCAAGCTGATGCTGATGGAGTTAACACAGTTTGGCCCTTTGCTGACCTGAGAGGTGGATGAGCTGAACCATGATTCTGTTGTGGAGGATGAAGGGCTTTTCCTTCACTTTTCAAAGTGTAATGTAAAATAATGGCTGAGTAGCTGCACTGTAGCCATCTGGGGCCCCAACAGCCTGTTCAGTCATTTCCTCCTCATTTCAGGCAGTGCCATTCAGGAAGGAAAGCCTGGGTTTTGGTCAGGGTTGTGAGGTGTCAGGGTGATATTCCTGGTAACGATGGATGATAACTGCACAGATCCTGCACAGCTACAACTTTCACTAGGCAAAGTTGGAGTGCATCCTACAGATGCTTTTGTCATATTCAGGAATTACTCTGGCAAGAGTGAACCAGGAAAATGCTGAAGTTTATGCTTAATTTTAAGCATGTGATCAATATCACTAATTTCACTGGGTTGATTGGTGCTTAACTTCAAACATATGTTAGATACTTCCCTGCAGGTTCAGCCCCTTTTAAAAATCAAGCCATAAATTGTTAAATCAATGAATTTGTTTACTTCAATTGAGCTGGACTTACATGTATGGACTGGATAGCTGAGTAAAGTGTGCAGGATAATAATAAATAGCAATCACATTTGACATACTTCGATATATGCAATCTTTTTAGTTTATGAATCTGATAAACTGATATCCCACTGTGGTGTGTTTGGGATGCACAAACTATATGGTCAATCAGCACTTGCTCTTTTCTGAGTTTGCTTACAAATACAGTATCATTTACCTTCCCAAGATATTCCTATCAGCCGGATGTTTATTGCAATGAAGGAGTTTCTTGTGACCTGGGGAAATATAAGTGAGTTGTTTCCTTCCTGTAATCAATATCAATCAAAGAGGGATTTATACTTTCTGCTGGAGACAGGAACTGATATTACTAGTTTTATCATAATTTGCCATCAAGCTTAAGGATCTTAAACTATAAATTCAGAGATCCACATTAGTTTCCCAAGCAGATGTGCTTCTGCACAGCTGTGCCTGCATATGGGGAAAATATGGACAGTTTCTTTATGAAGGTTTATAATAAACCTGGAAGTATTCATTGGATTTGTGTTGACTTTAGTATAACAAGGTTCATATGGATGCTAAGCGATGAGATAGTTGCACCTGTATCCTTTATGACATCTGAAACTTGGGAAGGCTAGTGAAATCCAAAGCTTTCATGTCATAGGTTATTTGGTTTCAAGGCTTTTGGTTTTTTTTTTTCCTACTTTCCCCTCCATGAATTTTAACAGTTTTGTTCTTGTCAGATGCAAACAGTACAGAAACTGAGAAAATTAAACAGGAAAGATTTTTAAAAGGTAGATACTGTGTTGAGCCAAGTTTGCATGAATTAAAGGCTGGATGCAAGGAAATGAAGTTGTTTTCAATAGGTTTTCCCTGTGTTTGGGCCCAGAGCAGGAAAGGCAGCGGTGACCCAGGGCTGACAGGGCTGGGGTTGTCCTGCAGACCTGCTACTGGGGACCCACAGCACTTATTAAATTACAGATGTAAACATACCACCCTTGGGATTTTTCTGGAGCATTAGGACCTCTCCATGGCAACTTTCTTGAAGCCAGTGCTGTCTCTTAGACATTTGGACTTGGAGCATTGAGAAGCCAAACTCATCCTGAGTGGAAGAAGCCCACCAAAGTGGTGGAATTTATACCAAGGCTGAATGTCACATTCACATCTCAAATATTTTAAGCCCCTTTTTGATATACTGCTTTTCCACTATTTTGTTTAATCTTCTTTAAAATACAGTTTCTTTGAAAAAAAATATCTGATTCAACAAAAATACATGCATTAAATTAAATCTCCGTGTGGCTAATTATCCAGCTGAACCTTCTGGAGGAAGAGGTGTAGTTTTTCCAGCGTGGTATTGGCCTGCAATATTTATTTTCTGAAAACTGCATTTTGCATGCAAGTTTCTTCTTTTGGGTGCTCTGAAGCTACAGGGCAGCAGATCTCACATCCTCCAGGCCCTATCTCGTGGTTTATCTTTCTGATGCTGCTTCCTCTTCTTCACGTGTCTAGCCCCGAGAGTTTGTGCACAAGACACCGCACCAGTTGTACAGTCCAAGTATGGCAGGAGAAGAGTCTGGTTAACAAAAACCTCTGGCTAGATGGGCCACAGAGATGAGGGCATTTAATTTCAATTTCAGATGTGCACCTGCCATGGAGAGTTGTGAGGCTGATGTATACTATTTTGTTAAAAATCTGTTTTTGAGAACTCAGCTAAGTCTTGGGCTCAAAGAGTAAATATACACTTTTGCTTATCTTATTGTTTCTAATTTTTTCCCCACACACTTATGTTTTGGACTTACCTTGTTGTAAATAATCCTTGAGGAAGCTGGTGTTTTACATAGCTCTCCAGCACAGTAATTTGTAGTCAGATTCTCAAGGGAGTGTGCCTAACTGGTGTATTTTTAATTGCCATCCTAGCAAATCCTTCCCCTGATGTATTGGTTCTCTAACTTACCTTTACAAAAGGCTCAAATACTTCTGAATGAAACCCAGCACATAAGTAACGAGTAACTCATTTGCATCTACACGCTTTGTTTCTCTCACTTCCACCACATTATTAACTCAGTTCTTCACCGACAAACCTCCTTTTTTCCACTGCTTGTGTCAGGTAACTGAATCTGTTCGGCACACCCGGAGGCTGCTGCGTGGGAAAGCAGCTGAGGATGTTGGTCACTTGGGCTCCTTCCCGAGGCAGCACCTTGCCCAGAGCACAACCTGCATCGCTTGTTCCTTGAGTCAGGCTGGAGAAAAACTCGCTCCTCAGCTGTCGAGTTTGCACCCTCCTGCAGCCGGAGGCTTCAGGTGCTCGGGCAGCCCCACACGGGCTGCTGGGGGCTTGGCAGAGCCACCCGGCTGGCGGGCAGGGCCACTGCTCAGGTCACAGCAGTTCGGGCACTTCCTTAGGAAGCGGGAGCCCCTGGGCCCCGTGTCCCTGCAGACGGGCAGGAAACCTCCCTGCCACCTGCCCGGGCTGCTGCAGAGTTCTGAGGCCTTTGTTTGCATGAACGCGGTGAGTTCAACTGGGTTACAGGGCTGAGAGAGGGGCAGGAATGTCTCTTTCAAGTCAGAGCACCAGGGATTCCTCCTTTCACTTCTCCCCACAGCGGGAGGGGGAAATACCTCAAGATGACTGAGTCCTTGCCTGCTGGTGCTATCCTAAAATAATGTGGCAGTTTATTTAACAACAGCCCTGACAATGCAGATGTCTTGGGCATCAGGGAGGTCTTTAGTCTCTTCCCTTGGCACACACGACACCAAAACCTGTTGGCAGTTCCTCGGACAGAGGTTTGGGAGCAGCAGCCTCCAGCGTGGCCGCCGTGGGCAAACCAGGCCCGAGCTGGCCCTCGGCTGGCAGCAGTGACCCTGCTCCCCTGTGAGCTTCGTTCCAAAAGCAGAGAGGAGGGGGTGATTCTGCTGTGAGCTGTCATCCTCCTGGTATAATCACATCTTCTTTACTGGCTTATTT